GTGTGTGTGTGTGTGTGTGTGTGTGTGTGTGTGTGTGTGTGTGTGTGTGTGTGTGTGTGTGTGTGTGTGTGTGTGTGTGTGTGTGTGCGCGCGCACGCGCACGCAGTATATACATATATGAATACAACCTCAGTGTAGTAAAGGTGCATGTGTATAGTTTTGTAAATATGTAAATCTGTTTATATTGGCTTACATGAAGTAATTTAAGGAATGCAAAAATCAAATTTAGATTTTAATTTATAATTGGTGGCAATCGAGAGTGTTATTTAAAAAGTTTAAATATTGAAAAGATTTATGTATGATGCTAAGTAGCTCTTCGTAACCGTGATGGTATTCACCAACATGTCCGAATATATTCTCTAGAAGTGAGGCGGTGCGACACCTGAGCTCAGTAGGCAGCAGTCACCGCACTAGTCTACAAAAGCTGTTTTGTTTTTTTCTTGGGTGGCACAGGAGATTTTTGATCTTGTCATTTGAATTGTACTGCAAGATCTATAATCTGCCTGAGACAATATTTTCTCACACAAGAATAAATGCTGTTTGAAACAACTGCGTGTGTGTGTGTGTCATCTAATCGCGTTTCACCTGCTCAGCTCAGTACATGGTGTTACCTGAGTTCACGTCTTTTTGGTCAAGAGCGACTAGAAGTATTAGAAGTGAGATTACATGAATGTTTTAAGTGAACGTGGCTTTCTGAGAGTCCCACATCACTACAAGCTCTTCCACAGTTCTGGAAAATATTTCAAGGTCTTCGCCTGACAAAAGCCTTGAAGATCCAGTGTTTGTATGCTGCTTTAGTGCTGCACCTGTACCCAACTGGGGTTAGACGTGCACACTTTGCTTCACCCACACTGACATACTAAATATACTTAAACAATACACATCCCAACCGGTCACCTGCTCGACCCATTTCTGTGAGAGACAGCGAGTGCGACTACTGACAGTGGCAAGCGTCAGTCGGGTGTCACAACAGTGGCAAACGAGCGGCACTCGTTCTGCACCCGTCAAGAAGCTGCCGGAGCGACATTTCTAGTCAGTGAGGTGCCACAGTCCTGACACCTGACTGACGCTTGCCACAGACTAGCCACTGCGGTGCCAGTGCCACAAGGAGGCTCTTGGCCTTGCTGATTTCTAACGCCAAGAAACTCACTGCAAGTTCCTGAATGTGTTGTTACAGTAGGTCACTGAATGAGATAAAACTATATTTACCAAGTGTCTACGTTGTATTAGTCACACGTCAAAGCTTGTACTCTAAACATATCTTGAAACTCATCTCAGTTAACCACTGGTATTAACACTTTGTTGACCGTTAAAAGGCAAATACTAGGTCATACCGTTTTGGGTAATTACTGTAACACAGGGTCAGATGAGGCCTTCAGGTCTCATCAAGCCCCTGAAGTTGAACACAGCAGAATGACACAAAGACATCATGGTTTTGGTAATGCTTGATTTTATGGGTCCCTTATTTCCTAATAGCGTTCTTGATGTTTTCAGGAAAAGAACTCTGTAATATGGTACAGATTATAGTACAATCACTTCTCAGAAATCAAAGTAAATACTCACATTACTCATTTGCTGTTGGAAACTTTATTCTTCATATTTGTTGAACTGAATGCTCGCCTTTAAATACTTTTCCCATAATTGCATCTCACCTGCCATGCCAAAAAAAAAAACTCAAGTTATGCAAGCAATTAACTGGCAGTCTACCAACTGCCTGTTTTTCCTTTAATAACAATGAGTACCAAATTAAGTCCAAGAAACTCAGGAAAACATTTCAGAAATGCCAGACCCAGAAAATCAAGCATTTCTTTCTGTAAAGTTAATTTGTAAATTATAAATGAAGCTCATTCACATCAACATCTCTAAACTAATCAGAACAAGTGTAGATTTGTGCAACCTGGGATTTATTTCATAATACTATAGACATACTCAAGACTTTAATTGACAGGAAATTCCTCAAAGGACACAAGGATGAGGCTACCGTTTATAGACAATCATTACAAAACTATTATCCAAAAGGATGAGTCGCCTGAAGTGATTACATCAAGTGTCGACTGATCAACCTACGAGAAGTACCTGCAGATAAAGACTGCGTGAGCTCAGTGGCGTCTTCTTAGCTTCACTAGATGACAATGAAAGCACGAACAACGACGCTCATGTAAAGTGATCAGGTGAACCAGGCTGCGATGTCCGACTTGTTTTCTGCACATAATGTAACATGAATGAAACCTGACCATTTGAATGTGATGGCGAATCATCAGCGGGATATGAAACGACACGTTTTCAAGTTCCGTCACAGGGATGTGCCACCACGTATGAGGCATGGCGGCCCAGCCCTGCTCTGGCAGTTCCAGTTTGTTGTTATTCCAGTTCACGTTGAGCCCAAATTCTTTGCATATTCTGTTTTGTAACACACTTGATCTATCTAAGAAAATCAAAGAACTAGTCTGAGAAAGGTAGTTTAAGTTCATTTCACTCCTCATCTTAACTTACTGCCGTGAATAGTTATAGCATAGGAATGAACTGTCTGTGTGATACATTCACTGTCCGCGAGGACATTTTCCTTCTTGTTACAGTAATAAAATAATATAAAAACATACAATTAAATATCATTGCAATTATTTTCTACCACAGTTCGATTTTAAAAACGTACTGACGCTGTTTTTTTGTCCTGATTGTTTCTGATGGAAAGCAGTGATCCAATGACATGCTTTCTAGTTAAGGTAAAGGAATACTACGAGCTTGAAAGGGTTCATTCCTTCTTAAATAGTGTAAAACTTGTGTAGTGTTGTAGAGATTCCAGTAGTCGATGTCTGTCAAGTCAAAAGGGGTGTTCAAAAATATCTTGGAACCAGTGTACAAACTATTGAGTGAGGCCGAGCACCAGGAGAGTCCTATAGAAGAGATAAGAAGCCGTTCTCCGTGGAGTCTTGCTGGTCAGATTTCCCGCCTCGAGAGCTCTTGCTGGGGTTCGGGGTGGTTGAATACTTTTGGGGGTATCTGATGAACAGACGGTCCTCCTCCTTTTTAATCCACCGTAGAAGCTTAGTGATAGCGGTGATAGCGCAGGCCTTCGTCACCAGAGGACTGAAGCAGGTGTACAGCTCAAACTTACTCGTGACCTACAGCAGAGAGGAACAGAGAGGTCTTATTTTAGCAAACTGAAACAATCAGGCAGTGTGCACATTTTTATTAGTAGTATTGTTTGTCATTTTGGGAAATACTCTTATTTGCTTTTTTTCTTCTTCTGAGAGTTAGAGGAGAAGATCGGTACTCTAAAATCTGTTTGTTTAACATGAAGCTACAGACACCTAACCCTCTGTGTGGGTCCTCTGCTGTGGCTCCAGGGCTGCACACCTGATTGGAGAGTAATCAGCGTCATGGGACACACCTGGGCCCAGTGTGCCCCATGGAGAAAAGCCTGAGCAGCAGAAATCCTTGGGTTGCAGATCTCCCTGACTGCAATAGTGCGTTGTGGTGGCGTTTGGTTTCTGTGCCTTGTTTTTACAGTACAGTATTCATGCAGGACATTTCCACTCATCCACTCCCTTTACAGATTCCCCCCATCCAATCGTTTGACATGTTTTTACTTCTGCTCTGTCCAAAAGGTAAAAAGATCCACATACCTGCACTGCTAAAGCTCACTAATTGCAATGAATAAATGCCATGACAGTATTCAGAACCAGTTGTATAGGGTGACAGTGATCATGTGTCTACATACCCAGGCTAGCAGAGTTTCCCTCTCAGCGACGTGGTAGATGAGCTTGAGGGGTCTTGAGGTGCTGTGGATGCGGCTGTGCATATAACGATAAAGGTCCAGCAGCCTCATCTTTTCCTCTTCACTGCTGTATGGGGCCTCCATCTCTGGGCTGCATGCAACAACACATTGTACAGGTTACAGACAGGAAAGGCATACAAAGTTCCCACATAAAACAAAGATAAGAGTGGTATACAAAAACACAAGGGCTATGGTGTACTGATGACACAAAGACGCACGGCCTAACAAAACGTTAGTCTTTTTGTAACTTTATTCTGAGCCATGTAAATAATATTATTTAACATGTAGGGCTGTGATTATTTGTACGATTTCACTTTCAAGGTTTCGATTGGCGGCTGGTGTATGCCTTTAGTTCAGCTCATTGAGAGATAAGTGGAGTGAATTGCCAGGATTATTGGAAGGCAATTTGAATTTCTTATCATTTTTATTTCTCTGTGCGCTTGTAACGGGAAGCTCATTTAAAAACCCACTGTGTTCTGACCAGGGCACTTTGATTTTTAAACACTAACCACACTAAGCTGTATTTTCCTAATAGAGTAAATGGGCTTTCATGCTTTCTCTTATACAAGGTATTTACACTTCTTGAGACTAAGAACATGTTATCTCTCAGACACATTTATAAAAACAAAAAGAGGTATTACACATGACAAGTATCACTGTCTTACTTGCCTACATGCAGTGCAATTTGTGTTATGTTTTACAAAAGCACAAATTGAATGACTTTTCTCCTTTTTTTAAACATAAAGCACCAGGTTAGGCTAAAATGTCCCTGCTGTAGTTGCACAGAGAATAACAGACACACACAAACACACACCTGGTGAACTGCGTTAGCTGGCGGTAGTTGTCTGGCACATCAAAGGGCTTGTACATGAAGTGTCTGAGGTCTGAGACGCCCACCTGGCTCACGCTGTACGACTGGACTTTGGCAATGAGGCTCAGGGAGTTCTGAGCCGTCATGGTCTCCTCTATCTTCCTCTTGCACTCGGCCACGGCGTAGAACGCCTCCTTGTCTGTCGAGAGCAGCAGCAAGCAAACAGTGCATTCTGGAGGGTCCAGGTAAGAAATGTATGCATAAAAGTAACAGTCAGGATTAAACAGGGGGAGGCAGATGGGAGTCCATATCTCCCCGGCCTGAAAGGCAGAGGAAGCGCCGATCAGGTTGAGCAGGAGGTGGACGTCAGCGGGCTCCAGCCTGGCGTCCTCGATGACCGTCTTTTCTTGGACGATGGTGAGCAGCTGGTTGTTGGCAATGAGGATGGAGAAAACCAGATTGGGGGTGATTGCTTTCAGCAGGATCTGGCTGAGAGAGTCCCTGAGAGAGGAGGCTAAGGGCAAGCAGTGTACTGCTGCAAGCAGGAAACTGGGGTCAGAATCCACCAGGTCGAGAAGACCGTCCAGGATCTTCTCTGAGCCCGCCAGGAGTCTCCTCAGGTCGTAGTTTTTCTTGTGTTCAAAGATTCGGGAGATGCTGGCCTGGGTGAGCATGCTGATGATCTGGTAGTACACATAGAGGAGCTCTCCACGGAGCTGCTGCTCAGTCTGACGACTATTGGAGACACACACCAGCACTAGGGGCCCTTTCTGTAAAAACACCACGGTGTGCTCCGCTGATGGAAGGAAGAAAAGACATCAGAAAACATTAAGGATAATACTGGAAGTAACGTTGAATGGTCTACTAACAATGCCCCTAGTGATCAACAGCTCTGCACTCAAAAATATTGGACTTTTTGTCAGTTGGTAATAACTAATGCGGCCACATTCACTGGCTGCTCCTACACATTACACAATCCTCTGTGAAATGTCGTCACTTGCTCTCATTTATGCAATTACATTTACAATAATGTTACAAAAGTTATGTGGGGGAAAACAAATCCCAAGAATGCTCTCACCTGAATAGACGGAGCGGATGATATTATCTCCACTTTGAACGAAGGAAACCAGCGCCATCATGACTCCCATTGTAGATGAAAGAGCCTCTTCGCTGCCATATCGGGAGTAGATGGGTTTGCCTGCTTCACTTAACACAAAAACATGCTTCCTGTGCTGCCGCCAGCTTTCAGCCGTCACATCCTCGTCACGATGAGACATAAAAGCAGGAGATTCCTGGATGCCGGCCTCCAACAAGGGAGATGACCTTCCCTTCACACCTATTCCTTGCTCCTCCAGCTTGGCCTTAGCAAGCATTGCAGCGACAAACTCCCCAGAGTCGCTGCGGTCATTGTCAGTGGTGGCATCCTCGGTTCCTTCGTCAAGCGTCTGGGAAGACGCATTGTTCTGACACTCAGAGATTTCTGCCTCCTCAGTCTCTAGCTTTGTTACCTGGTTAGATTGTGGCTCTGCGTCCACACCTTTCTCCTCTGACAGGATTGGATTTGAAGGCTCCTGTTTGTCAACAGTGGTACTGTTGTTTCTCTCCACCGGATGAGGAAACATGTGATTCCCCAAGAGGGAGAGAGAAGTCGCCAAGGTGTCAGCTGAAATTATAACAAAAATGTAATTATGACATGAATGATAAATAGTAAGATGTAAGCTAATTAAGAGGTTTAATGAAAGATTAAATCATTTACCAGGTGGATTGCTCTCACAGGGTGGATCACAAATCTTCACTCCCTGTGCCTCTCCTTCTTGATGATCGACTCTCTCCATGATAACATCCCAGTCTCTACAGATTAAAAAACACACACCTCAACCAAACAATTCAGAATAATCAGCTGTATACCCAATGTGCTTCGGTGGTCGAAGTTGAACCTTGCATGCATCACATTATCATATGAATAGGAGCACTCATACTGGACCAGTGGTCACGTCACATGAGTACAAGAGAAAACTGGTTACAGAGAATTACAACTCCAAGATACCAGACTCTGGAATTTAACACTGATTACAACCTCCAGCAGTCTGGCTCATGTTATACTGCAGACAAACGACAGTCGCCTGGACGCAGAGACGAAAGACCGCCAGAACTAACGTTTCTAATAGCTTAACTTACTTGTAAAGCTAATGTGGGCTTCTCTGCTAACTTGCTCACGTTAAGAAAGCCTACTTTTTTTTACTCTGATAAATATTTGACTGTGAATTCCGATGCAACTCAGTAAATGCCGGCTGTAGTTACACGGCTAACATTGACTGCTAGCAAGCGACACACACAGATCAATTTCATGGCCTCGACTTATCAGTGAGCTTTGCAAGCAATCGTGGTCAGCTAAAATTAGACAGATAAAGACAAAGAACAACACTTACGATTTTGTACCGTCGAAACGTAGGGTTGTACATCTAATTCACCACATTAACTTTCGTCAGCAGCCCGGCAGCAAACAAGCTGTCAAGAATGAGAAGCAGAAAACAAATTTTCCTCTTACGACAGCAGACATACGGAATCTCTACTGACAAGCTAAACTGACCAATCAGTCTACTCGGTGGTACTGACAGCCTAAACTGACCAATCACTCTACTCGGTGGCACCGGCTAGCCCCGCCTCCTCATGTCACATTCCAGATAGCGATGTAACATTTGAGCTGGATAACCTAATATATAAAGTGTTTTCGGATCTTTCAACGATTTGAAATAAACGTGTACGGACTGTATCGCTTTCAACAATACAACTATAAAACAGGGATGGCTACATGCCTTTTCAGGGAAGACATTAGGGGATGTTTTTGATATGACAGCTAACGTAGCCAGCAGCTAATTAGCCACATTCATACGCTGCTCATAGTGTTCCATAAGGAAATCTTAAATGTCTGCTGGGTTGACCACGGAGATCCGAGTGTCTGCTGAGCTAACCGCAGTGAAATCTTAGGAAGAAAGACTATACGTTATTTTACCTCTTCTCCTGAAGCGTGTTGGATCTGTAGTGTTATTTTTGTCGTCTGACATAAGTGCCCTGTGTGTCCGTTGAGATAAAATGTTTGCTTTAGGCCACACTGACGTTTAAATACGATATTTTCAGGCCAGTTGAAGGTTTAAACTTCTCTCCGGACCGTTCATTCCTGGTAGACAGTATTGTAAATATTATAAAATACTACTGGAGATCCAACCCTTGGGCACATAAGTAATTTAGTGTAGACATAATAAGATGTGCAGTTTAGCTAAAGAAGAAATATAAGACAACACTATTTCTTTGAAGGATGTTGTTTACCGGTGCGGGGCGGCTCTACGTAACCTACGTCATTTCCGATTCCTCAACCCTCGCCATACAAACATCGTAACGGTAAAGATGACGATGTTGTTCTCATTTCTGGATGTCGTACGCTAACGTTACATAGGCAAAGCGATGTTCTTACAGTTATCCATCGGATGAGGAGTTTACCATACTGATTTCACGTAACTTAAGCCGAATAGCCGGGCACTATGGCGGAACCGTGGGATTTTGAGTTTTTGTCCCGCATCGGTGACAGCTGCCTGTCGTTCCTATCCGAATTTGTTGACGACTGGCTCGCCAACGATATGAGAGTTTCCATATTTAAAATATTACTCGGCTGGTTAATTTTAAGTCTGGTCGCAATTCACTTTGCATGGAAAATCTACGGGAATACAGTCAACGATATGTATTATCGACAAGGTGAGTTTTCTTCGACCGTATCTCTACATCAACTTGCTAAGCTAAACTAGTGCTAGTCACGTTGGCCTCATCTCTGTTGGTGTTCATGTTCAGGGACTGGACAGAACGGAGGCACACCTGACACAGCACCCCACCTGAGTGGATGGTAGGTTTCTGATCGTCCGTGTCGCTTGAAACAGGTAGATTATCCTCCTCACACAGTCTGGTGCAAAGCTGGTTTTAGGATCTTTGCCTAGCATTTCTTCTGATTGAGTGAGCATCCAATGGATCCAGTGTAATTATGTTCTGTCAACTGAAGCCGCAGCATGTATTGCCAACATATCACTGATGGTGGTGGGGTAAAAAAGCGTATACTAGCGTTGTGGATGTTTTGTCACACTTAAATTCTATTACAGTTACTGCTTTTTAAAATAGTTTTGTTAGTAATGACATTGTGTTCTTGCAGGGAAAGCAAAGCAGGAGATGCCCCGAAGACTCATCGAGATTAACAGGACAATGGTGTTGGACTTTTGACTTTATCCAAGTGAGAGCCTGACTCTAGTGATGAGACAGTTCGCTGATAATAAGGCTTCTTCAGTGCATTCATGGACGCACTCTCCGGCAAATGCATAGAAAAACATCTGTTATGCAAACCAGCTGTGTGACACTGATCCACTGTATCAACCACATAGTGCTGTGAGATATTTATTTTGGCTTGTCAACATTGGAAGAAGAACCTTACTCTGAATACTTAAATTGATCTGCTTGTATATTTATACACCGTTCTACAAATGTTGATGGGTTTGTGTGTAAATTAAGGGTGCTGTGATCATAGCGGAGTAAGCAGACATAACATTTTCCATTCTGACTGTGAGCAAAATACTTGATCTGAATGATGTATGGAAGGAACAATAGACTGTATGCTTCAAGTCTGTTGGAATACAGAGCCACAAAAAGCAGGTTTACATCTTCAATGATTTTTGCATGACATGTTAACCACCGGGTTTCTCATAACATGCAAGGAGCATTGTGTGAGCTTAATGGATAGATATATTGGGCCTGATTTGAGTGTTCACCCTCTCTGGCCCTTGGATTTTTTTCTAGCTTTTCTCACAGTGAAGTTTTGTGTTGAAGTGAAAACAAATCCCTACGAATTTGATCAAAATTAGGTTTAAATAAACCTACACTAGCAAATTCACCCTGTTTATGACACACTTGAAGAGCACACTTTGAATGAAAATCACCTGTGTGTAATCAAGGTGTGACAGATGATGGAACAATATCTATCGGAAAACTATCAGCTGGTTAATCTTGGCAAAAACTACACCATGAAAACAAAGCAACATCCTTAGGAAATCTGTAACAAAGTAAAAATTAGGAAAATGATACAAAATAATTGCACGGCATATTAATGAGGGAGGCACTGTGGTGCAGTTAGCACTGTCACTGTTGTTGTTGAGAGTACAAACATTTGTCTCACTTTACATCTACAGGGGGGAAAACTTGCATGAGATCTGAGCTGTAGCACAAATTACCAGTAACCCACCATGAAGCTGTGCAGCAGGACCTAGTGGCTTTTGATGATGGGGGGTAAAAGCTGGAGGAAAAGCTGCTACATTAAGCAAGAAAACTAAGCTAAAAATGGCTTTAGAATAACAATTGAAATGTCCTGTGGTGGTTAATTCAGTGTCCACACCTCAGGCTGTTCATCCTGTCAGTCAAAGGTGCTTGAGCAGTTTTGCAAAGAATGGGGGGGAGGATGCAATATTGAGATTTGCAAAGCTAAAACCAACCTCTACATATTGGGTAGATTCAAAGCTGTAATTTCTGCTAAAGGTGCCTTTTTACTTGGGGGTTAATCATTTTTACATATTTGTGCTCTTCAATTTGTTTCATTTTGATACTAGTTTTTCTGTTAATGTGTCGAAAGCGTAGTTAATAGTCAAATAAAATCAAAAATAATAAAATATGAATAAGTCAAAGGGGCATTGAATTATTATGAATTGTATCTGACAAGTTACAACAATTATAATGGCAAAGACAAGTTAGTAGTACAAGACAATGTACTAGTGTGCATTTACTGAAATGTTCTGATATACATAGTCCTGAAATAAACCACAAAATCGGAGACCAGCAGCAAAGATAATACATGTTTTGTGTAAATAGCTTGATTGATATTAAATTTGCTGTGTTTGAAACTACTGATGTTTTCAATGCCTCTAATTGCAAGTGCTGGTTTGTAAAAATATTTTTCAGTGATTTAGAAAAGATTATCAGTAAAATCACTATTTCTAAACTTTTAAAGCTGATAACAATACTTGACTTTTTTTTTTTATTATTCCGCTCCTATCTTTTCTTTGTGGTTGTTAGAATTTAATGTAACAATACCAGTCGTGCTTCCAAATAGATAGTCGAAGAAAAAAACAGGTACTACAAAACCAAGTCAAATAGACCCATTAATGCATTTATTTATCCAGATCTGCTGGACCAAGATCATTTTATTTTATATGTATTTTATATGTTAATGGGAATGGGTGGAATGAGTAGCATGTGCACATCCATCACATTGGTGCAGGTTAGGCCAGGTAGAAGTAAGCGCTGCCCAGCAGAAAGACGGGTAAAAAAAGTGTAAGAATCATTGTTGGTAAGGAAGTTGTCGACATCCAGCCCCTGTGCTTGTGCCTCTTCATATAACCCCCCATCAGTGATGGCCCCTGCTGCCTCAGTGGGTCCATCCTGACCATCGGTTCCACCACTGAGGAACACGGGACCATTAGGCGGAAGCTTCAGGTCTCTCAGCTCCAGTCCCACTCGCAGAGCCAGCTCCTGGTTTCGACCACCTCGACCCTTGCCCGTCAGCGCCACGGTGGGCTCACCTCCAGCTAACAGACACGTGGAACCCCATCCTTCCGTACGCCCTTCACCTAAGACCTGCATGGTGCGGCAGAGGTCCCAGCTCTCCACGCCTACTTCAGGCCCCAGCCTCAGCAGCTCAGCCGCAATCTCTGGAGGAGGTTCCTCTCGAGAACAGGCAAAGCGAGCCAGGAGGCCGTATAGTCGGGAGACTGACCTCACATCGCCACACACTCCCGGTGCCAGCACGACAGGGCGGAAACCTAACTCCCGAGCATGGCGACCTGCCCATTTGAGGGCAACGCTGTTGGAGCCAATCACAGTATTGAGAACACGTCCTGATGTATTAGATTCCCCTTTATTCTCCCTCCACTTCGGCATTGGTTTTCCAAGAACTTCCTTTACTGAGGCTGGTATGCAGTTCAGCAGCTTATAACGTTCAAGGACTGACAAAACTTCTTCAGGCCACACCTCACTCCACACGGTGGGGCCACTGGCTATCAAGTCCAGGGGGTCCCCAATTACATCGGACAATATCAGTGAAACCACCTGTGAAGGAGTGATTTGAGGGGTGATATTCAAAATACAATGCTGGAATGAGTTCCTCACTGCAATAAAAAGCCAATTAAGGAAAAGTATGTTACCTGGGCTGGGTGAGCACAATGCGCAAGGCCTCCACCCTTTAAAACAGAAAGGGCCCGTCGGAAAGTGTTCAGCTCCTGAATAGTGGCACCAGCACCTGCAAGTTTGCGGGTCACATCCTGTTTCTCTTGCAGTGAGACTGGTGGGATGGGGGCAGGTAAGAGCGCAGAGCCTCCACCTAAACACAGGTTCATCACCTTGTATTAGAGATTTACATTGAAAAAGGTATGAAGAGAAACAAAAGAAGATTCTTACCTGAAATCAGTACAAGTAGCAGGTCTTTCTCCGTCAGTTCACTGGCTAACTGCTTGATCCCTTCAGCTGCCTTCTGGGCATCAATGTCAGGCAAGTTGTATTTAGCTCCCTCCATCACTCTGATGCGACTGTTTTCTTTTAACAAGAGATGACTGTGATGGAAGTGAGAAATGTTATTATGCTGCTTAATCTTATTTTTGTATAATACTTTAAGTTGTTTACGTACTTTTTTCCATGCTGCTGTAATGTCTGCTGAATCCCATGTGGCACGCTTATTACTCCTTTCACCAAATGATCCCCCATAATCCTCTCTGCCTCAGCAGCCATTCCTAGTACAGCTTTTCCAAAGCCAACCAAGTGCAGGTTGTGCTCGAGCGTGAATTTATGACCACTGATAATGACCGAGTCCTCTTTGCGCTCTATACTCTGCCGGACCACCGTGTCTGGCTGCACAGCTTCCACCGCGGCTGCAAACACCTTGCGTGCACGCGAGTCCATTGACATTTTGCACAACATAGGTTTTCTCCTGCTCACGTGGACCAGAAAAGGCTGAGGTCGAAACAGGGAAAGAACACGGGCCATGGACAGTTCAGTGGGTCTGAGCCGAAATTGCCTGAGAAATTAAAAAGTCATAGTTTATACAGACAGTTTCCACACGAACATGTTCTTTAAAAAAAAAAAAAAAAAAAAGACCACATTGAATACAACCATGGTGTAGTGAATACTGTAGTAAAACTATATCACAGTGAGGTAATTGCAAAACTTGAATTACTAGCACGATGCATTGAAGATTAAAATGCCAGTGACATTTGCAGCATTGTAATAAATAAAAATTTCTGTGGCCAGGAAATCAATACTTACACTGTAACACTGTATTATACTTCCGGTTAATAAGCTGTACAGTCCTCGCGACTGATTGGTAGCTCTGATCTTGCCCGGTTAAATCTAAAGACTTAAGAAGTACACTAGTGTGTGATGCTGTTGTATTCCTATTCTACTCACTTAATGAATAATGTGTCCATGTGTTGCTTGTTAGCTCACTTGTAAAGGCTAAAAACTAAGTGCTCAGACTATTGCCTACCTTTTGTGTTTAAAACAACCAAAACCGTACATAGACGATAGCTGTTATATCTTATGACGTAGCCTACCTGTGAAGGTTGCAAATGGAATATAAAGCCTGTGGGTTCCTGTGGAAGCCTGTTCTATGCCCTCCAGCTCAGCAGTAAGGCAGTGTAGCAGAAATCTGACCAGAGACTGGAGTTGTGTACCCTGTGTGTAATGATTGACTTGAATGCTCCACAGGACACATCCAACCACTGATCACTGATTACACCGCTGTGCATTTGTCCGTTGTTTTGTTTTTTTCCCCGGACTGGGGGAACAAAAAAAAAAGAGTAGTAACCTATCTGACAGACTTTGGAGCTATTCGTGCTTCAGCACAGTTCAAAGGGTACAAAACCAAAAACTACTTTACATTGAAGTCATGTGCACACTGGTTGCAAGTCCTGTTTTCTCTGAGTTGTGAAGACACCTGCGTTCATAACGTTTGAAAAGGCATGTAGTGTGCACTGTTTGTTTGTGAGAGCTGAAAGTCGCCTTTTTGCTCCTTTGTAGAAATAGCAGGTAGACAAGCAAATTCAATTTGATGTAAAATGTTGGTACTGACCCAATGGGACTTCAGGTCATACAGTGTTGGAAAGTTGGTATTTTTATGCTTATTCAGTGAAGAACAACAGAACAAAAGATAAGTGTGACATGTCATCACATAGAACAGATTATTTTGAGGATGAAGAATAAAAACTGTTTTGTAAATTATCAGATCAGCACAGCTCCTAAGAAATAGCACATTGGTGTTTTAACACTTGTTAAATTACTTTAATAATTAGAGAGTCACTTAACATTTACTTCTATTTTATTGTGCTACACATGTATGTCTATGTGAGTAATAATGTTAAAAGGTCAAAATGGCTGCCAAAGTTTAATCGAACGTTCCCCCGAAGTGATTCTATTTAAAACCGTTGAGACGTTCCAAGCTTTGTTTCCATGAGCTCGAATTTGCACATTACCATGGTCACCGTCGATCTTTTGCACAATTCGAGCAAATGTCCGCACGCTTGACCTCTCATACAGGCTGTTGACAACATTATACAAGTGATTTTTAATAGCAGAGCGGTGGCTGCTGACGTATGATGGGAAAGATAAATTGTCTAGCAGATGATATGATAGTGAGATAATATTTCAGAATTTATATTTGCCGAGTGTGTGTGCAAAATGCATATACGACTCTGTTTTTTTGCATGTCCCTCGATATACTTACGCAGAATAACAGCTGAGTGTCTCCTCTTCTGTAGACCACCTCCTTGAGACGAAGCTGCAGAAGTTTATTAAATTTATTTATTTTATCCACGACTCTCCCCTGTGAGCTCCGGAATCCAACCAGACAATAACTTGTGTGTACAGGATAAAAGTATCACATTTTGTGACTTCAGGGATCCGTATGTTTTTGTTAATTCCTTAATGTCGTTTATGACATCGGGCCCACTTGTTCAACTATCGCGATAACTGCTATTTCCGACCAACGCGCATGTCAAACGATGAGTTGCGCGTCACCGCGGTCGAGGAGGCGGGGCTTGATTTTCCCTCCCTCCCCCCTCTCCCGTGGATCAGAAGTATCGCAGGCGGGCTTTCGTCGCTGTTTTTGAATTATACTTCTTTAAAAACAACTGCTGGCACAATTGTAGTTCATATACGTGAATCTGAATTAAGTGACATTTGTAATCTGATTTAAAGTAGAACGAGGGCCTGCTTCCCCTCAGACAGACAGGCCACCATGAAGCTCACGGACAATGTGCTGCGGAGCTTCAGAGTAGCTAAGGTGTTCCGGGAAAACTCAGACAAAATTAACTGTTTCGATTTCAGTTCAAACGGGGAATCAATTATTTCCAGCAGCGACGACGATTCCTTAGTCCTGTACGACTGCACAGAGGGAAAGTAAGAGCGGGTTTTGTTCATTTTGCTCTGTTGTTTTTGACGTTAGCTAGTTGCTATGCTAGCTAGCGAGGCCTGCTGCACTGCGCTCAGGAATGAATGAGATGTAACGTGCCTGTATGTGCGTGCAGTTTGAAAACAACTGCAAAAATCACTGTTTCTATTGTCTTACGTTATACGGTAGTAAGTAATGGTCATATGTAACGTTGTTAATGTAATGGTAACGTTAGTCATCGCAGGTAGAAGTAGATCGCAATCAGTTAAAGTCACGTGAGTTGTACTTGAGTTACAATCAAATAGGCTCGTAACTGTTGTGTTTGAGTTCTTAAATAAACCTCTCAGTGCTGGATATCTGGGCTTAGCTCGTCAATATCAATACGTTTGAGTAATATGTCAACATAAATAGTAATGAGGTAACGTTAATGCGCAGAGAAAAGCCAACCATTTTGATATTACACTAATATTAAAGTTAAAACTGTTGCTGGTTGTAACTTCTTGAATGTGAACATTTGCTGCTTTTTCTCTTTTTTTTATGCAACTGTAAATTGAATATCTTAGTGTTTGGGGTGAGCAAACCCAGCAATTTAAAATGTGTAGTTTTTATTTTTTTTCTGACATTTAGTAAACCAAGTAAATAATAGATTATTAAGGAAACGATTAGCCTTATTGAAATGTATCTGTGCAATGAGGCTGTAACTCAGATGTGTTAACTTTAGTTGTGACATGGCAAGTAATCATAACAAGGCAATTAATATCATCCAATGATTTAAATGCATATTCTTTTTTTCCCTCTCTCACGTCATATGATTTGTGGCAGACCTAAGAGGACTCTCTACAGCAAGAAGTATGGAGTGGATCTGATCCGGTACACACACGCTGCAAACACGGTGGTCTACAGTTCCAACAAAATCGATGGTATGTTGAGGCACAGATACTTTTTTATGTAGCTTTTTTGTTTGGTGGCATAGCATGAATACGTTTGTTTGTGTGTCTAATATGATACTGTTGATAGAATTAGGAACTCGTCAACGAATCAAATATCACAATGTTTTTGTTTTTACTAAAATCATAATGTGATATCTGATATGCGTGGTCGTTGATAATGGGTACAGGGCCAAACAAGTAGAGATGTTGTTGTGCATTTCACTTGGCTAGAGCTGTCGTATACACCCAGAGAAGTGAATCGCTTCACTGTAACGCAGGAGGAGACCACATTTAAATGATGTCACAATATGTAGGATTGTCTAAATTGTAAACACGATCTCGTCTTGACTTGTTAGTTCTCTCTACATTATGAGCTGTAGGGTACAGTGTGGTGGACTGTTGACGTACACGACCCCTGTGCACCGCTGCTGGATTGCGGGGCACACTGCTCACTTTGGTCTGAGGTAGTTGTTTGTACAGTTTGAGGGTCTGTGATTCTGCCCCATACAGGAGCTAACTGTACAATTGACTGCCTTGCCCACGGTCGAGTCACCTCATCACAACTGCCTGTCATCAAATTTGTGTTTGGATGCCGGCTTGTTTCTTGCTGCTGGTCAGGTTTCATGTCTGACACGGTAATGCCGTTTATGTGTTATTTTTCTTAAAGATACTATCAGATACCTTTCTCTTCATGACAACAAATACATCCGCTACTTTCCTGGCCATAACAAAAGGTGAGAACTGCATTTCTGCTGGTCTGTGTGAACCTTGATTTGATGTTGTGTTGAGTTGGAAGTTCCTCGGTTCTCATGTTTTCCTCTTTTTATTTGTGTGTAACCAGAGTTACATCTCTCTCCATGTCTCCTGTGGACGACATGTTTATTTCTGGCTCATCAGATAAAACGATCAGACTTTGGGATTTGCGGTCACCTAACTGTCAGGTGAGTCTGTTTTTTGTAATTTGGGTGAGAAGCCACTGTTGTTGCACTAATATGTAATATGAAATTGTAAAAAAAAAAAAAAAAGCAGATTTTGACCGTTTCTTGTCATCTGTCATTAGGGTTTGATGCACCTGCAGGGGAAGCCAGTGTGCTCCTTTGATCCAGAGGGTTTAATCTTTGCTGCAGGAATAAATTCAGAGATGGTTAAACTTTATGATCTGCGGTCGTTTGACAAGGTGAGTTTGATAGGAAAAGTAAAATTTGATAGCTTTAATTTAATGGGAGCAAGATACTCACGACGCCTCTTATCAACAGGGTCCTTTCGCCACCTTCAAGCTTCAGTACGACCGGACGTGCGAGTGGACAGGACTCAAGTTTAGCAATGACGGAAAACTCATTCTTCTTTCTACAAATGGCGGAGCCCTTCGTGTCTTAGATGCTTTTAAGGGTGCTGTGCTGCATTCCTTTGGGGTAAGAGATGACAACAAAGACAGACGTCACATCTAAATCACACAGTTAGGACAGTGCGTCAGTGAAAATGACAAATGTTTGGAGAACCCTGACTCGGTTAAATCCCACCGGTTCAATGACGCATTACAACGGTGACGCTATTGATTGAGTTGACATTAATGTTTTTTTGTTTTTTCTCTCTTGCCGTACTAATGTGCCCAAAATCCTTGCTCATGGCTGCTGTTTTTAACCCACAGGGCTACAACAACAGTAAATGTGTAAACCTGGAGGCGTCATTCACTCCGGATTCACAGTTTGTTATGATCGGTGAGTTTCTCAGTGTTGGAAATGGATTCATTTATTATTTCATGGAAGGATCTTATTTTAATGATTTTATCACAATCATTAAAAGCCCCAAGTGATTGTATTTTTAATTCTAACAAAGTAATGTTGTCATGAAACGTTTGTTTTGTCCGTATATGCGTCAGGCTCTGAGGACGGAAAGATCCACGTGTGGAATGCAGAGAACGGCATGAAGGTGGCGTTATTAGACGGGAAGCACACGGGACCGATAAGCTGCCTGCAGTTCAACCCCAAGTTCATGACGTTTGCAAGTGCCTGCTCCAACATGGTGAGTGTGGACAAGAAGCGTTGCTCGAGTAGATTCCTTCATGATTCCTTTTGAAGCTGCATTAAGTAGTTAAACACAAGGGGTCTCGAGTCTTTTGTATCTTAGGGCTCACTTTTGATTGTTAAAACATTCTGAGGACCAGCTTCCAGAATACATGAGAGAGAAAAACAAAAGAATGACAGAAAACATTGCTCCTTTCAGCTGTAATGGCAAAAAATACATATTGTGCTTCACTGCCGGACGATGTGAATCTAAAATGAAGGGTTTATTCAGGGTCATATTTCCTCACCACACACTTATCACGTCTCACTTTTTTTTTTTTTTTTTTAAAGATCCATTTTGTGTCGCTGCATGCTTGTCTCCTCGTGATGATGTGTTGTGATTAGCGTGGCGGTATTCAAACGTAGCTGGTCAACAAAATTATGTATTACTATGCTTTTTTTTTTTATTGAGCACATTTAGATATAAAAATAAGCTTTGTAAATGACCTAAGAATATATTTTAAATTGAATCTAACCCTTTGGCAGTACATCCGCGTCCAACTAGGTGGTGCTGTGAGACGCATCAATAGTGGTTTAAGTTGTTATGAGAATTAAGTGTTCATAACATGTTGCTGTGATGTCACTGAACGGAGCATTTCACAGTAACGATCTTCTTCGTCACATTATTACACTTTTATTATTGTATTTTTCAGTAACACTCTTGGTGCCCACAGTGAGGAGCATCTGAAACTGTGCACACGGGACACAACTCTGAGTGAATGTGAGCTTTTCATGTCATTCAGCTCAGCTTTCAATTATTTCCCCGCTGTCAGCAAACAGGAAAAGAGATTTAGAGATTCTTATATCTAAATGTGCGCAGGACAACGTGAAAGTAAATTTGATTACTTAGATACTTCAAGTGTGAAACGTCGCCTCTGTGGAGCACACAAAAGCGCCAGCAGTTACAAAATGGTTCAAATGTGACGAAACATTTTGAATGCTTTCTTGTTTTTCAGGCGTTCTGGCTCCCGACCATCGATGACTGACGACAACACAATGCAGGCGAAGCTTCTGTTGGAGGCCAAAGTGAGCAGCTGGGTGTAAATTTCACAGGAAGCGTTACTATTAAATTCTAATTGTAAATAAGTAGTGTGCAGAAATAGATCATTTGTCTATTGTTCTTTTTTTTACATTTCTATTTAACATTAAATTGTCTCTTGGTAAGACGTTGGTTTTGTCAATTTATTATTGTGTTGTGATGTGTGTACATGTGTGTTACACAAGTCATATTTATCTGATTCAACCACTGATTCTTTTAATGAATGAATCCAAACCTACTTATTCTTGTCCTGAGTCATCGGTTTAGAAAGTCAGTTTAAAATGGCCAAAGCCTTGAGATGATATAGTGAACTTTATATTGCATCCTTACTCAATTCATCACATTTATATAAACACCTTTTGAAAGGAAATATGAATAGGTCACAACTCTAAACACATTTGCAGTTTTTGATCCAGTTCATATGACCTTTTTTTTTTTAAACATCTTGCTTATGAGTTTAGGTTTTCAGTGTAATATTCATTTAATGTTTGATTTCCAGTTACAGTTATTTAAAGCAGGAGTGAGTACGTGTCAGTTGTAAGTTTGTGGATCTGAGGTTTTGGAAAACATCCGGGTGATTTGTGACGGCAAAAACATCTTACACAATCTGTTGACCGTCACGGTGGTCATGTGTAAATTGAGGTCAACAAAGTTTGAGGAGTTGGGTAAACTTTCCAAAAAAAACAACACTCTCTTTGTTTTTTTTCCCCACCTCAGCCCAAATCATTGATCTGTGATTCATAAACGGCAGGATATTGGTGATTTTGCTCACATGATAAAACAGTCCAATTCTGAGTGTTAACAGTAAAACAATACTTCAGTGGGGTGTCTCCCCCAGAAATCTATCATCCGACCAAAAGCTATTTTACGACAGTACATCCTACTTGAATTGTTCTTGGCTCAGAAATTGGTAATTAGGTTTGCAGGTCTCCAGCTCCTGCTGTGTTGTGTTGGGGGGTGTCACAGCCCAGTGCTGGGCAGTCAGTCATTGAGAGCTAAATTTGGGAGCGAGGCGATCAGGTTCCCCGTCTGCGTGCACATGATACTGTCCTAGTTACTTGAGCGATGCCCCTTCTCACACTGTCGCACTCTCAACGAGTCCAGACACATTCAGCGATCCTGTTCTTCAGCAGTTAGAACTGAACTTAGTCACGTCAACTGAAGTGAAGGAAGGTTTTCTTATCAACAGGCTCCTCTGGTTGGACTTTGGTGTCTCTTGACTGGACTGAATATTTGGGCCTAGTGCGGTGGAGCTCCTGTCCTGTCTGTTTCGTCGTCTTCTGTCTTTTGACGAGCCTGCTGCAGTGCTTGGCGGGAGGAAGAGACTGCTGACCCGCCATGTTTCTCGCACTAGTGGTGACGCAGGAGCTGAGGGACCTCCTGGCCAGGGCAAGAGGTGGAGCGGTGCGCCTCATCAAGGTGCGCATCCAAGACGGTGAGTGACCCAGGACGGAGCAGTCCAACATGGGGATGAGTTAGGTCTCGGGTTGTAAGATGTAAATCATCCTTGATATTAGTTCTGTGTTTCGGTGTGTTGTAAAGCACTTATTTGATTTATAGCATCCATAGATTGCTTTGAGTCTGAGAAAAATAAAAACATCTTGCACAATCTGTTGGGTAACTCTGCAGAACAAATCACTGTCATCTGCGAAAACAAGTTCTTTATGCATTTGCTACGCCAACACTTTTGGGTTATGGCCCCTTTAAATGTCTACTTGTGACCACTAATCGCACGTTGTGGTCTTTGTTAGCATGAAGTGTGAACAGTTCAGTCAAGTAGCGTTTCTACCTTTTTTACTTTCTTTCTTCTGTTTCATTTCAAGGCTTTTTAGAGGTGAACGTATTCAGTGTTGTAAAAAAAATAAGCAAAGAAATCATGAAAAATATAGCTTTGTGTCGGATATATATGAAAATAGTTTGACTTTATTCATTCATCATTTGTTGACCCCTCAGATTTTTCCAGGTTCGACACCACTACTTTATGATTTATTCTATACCTAAAGCATAGCTGTAGTGGCTTCCAGTGGCTCAAAAAGTTTTCAAACCAGTCATGTCCCTTTTCCATGAGCTGTAAACTCTTTGTCTTTAAACCATAGGTGGTTTCCAACCTGGGGTTCGGGACCCTCACAAGGGGCCGTGAGATTAAATAAGTGGTCATAAAATGATTATAGAAAAATATAAAAATACAAAATTTCTAATCTTCGCTTTTTTTTCTTGTAAAAATAAAGTTATATTTTGTTTTACCTCTAAAATATATTCTCATGAACTTAAAATAATCACTGCAGTTTACGTTTGTGCCTCTCATGTTACCTTCACATTTAAGTCACAGCGCTGTCACTTTTTGTGAAAATAATGTACTGGTTATCTTCGAAATTAACAAACATGTTGTTTAACTCTTCTAACTATCTTGTTGAAATATATTCCATTTATTGCACCATATAAATGATTTTTAAGCCGCTTGTTGCGACCAAGAAAATTCAATGTGACATAAACTAATACAACTGATTGGACAAGTTCTCACATTTAGTTTCACATGTTAGAAATTGAGCAAGAACGTGTCATTTCCAGCCAACATCTTTGTTTGGGTTTTACAAAAAGTGTTATCGTGCAGGAAGCACAATATTTTTTTTATCCAGTTCGAAGATTCTTTAAAAGATTGTGGTAAAACCATAAGAACTATTTTTTTGGGGGAAAAAGATGCTTGGCTTTGTGACTTGAGTGTCATGGCAAAACACGAGAAGTGTAAAGGAAAATAGTTGCATAATCGTAGCCACGGTGCAAAAAATATAAAAAAAATGTAACGATGTTTTCCACAAGACAGTCATGTCGAAACGTTGGTAGATTATGAAATATATTTTGCACCGTGGCTACGATTGTGCGACTATTTTCCTTTTACTCTTGTGCCGTCACGGTGGTCAGCACCTCTCCAACACTCTCTCTCTCATCCTGAAAACACGAGAGCACAAACTGTGGCTTAATTGAAAACCAATTCAGAATTCTCATATTGTTTTCATGCGAGTAAGAATTGCGCGGATGCGTCACTAATGGGCGTGTCTTCATATTGAGGGATCACAAACCAATAACAAAGTTGCTAAACCACTGCTATGGACTTTATGTAACATCTAGGAAAAGAGGATTGTGGTCAGTGTGTCAGCTGAGCGGTGAAAAATGGTCAGTGAGGCAATAGGTCTCTAGGTAGCAGATTATGAAGGTGGACTGATATGTTCACGAGGTGTTTATATCTTGTTTTGGTATCTGACACTCTTAATCTGCTTCGTGACAGATGCATTCTGGGGCTATCTTTGTGAGCTGTGTCTCTCATATCAAATATTTAGTCTCATATTTGAAGTATTGATGTCAACAGAGATAAGCTTGGTGCGACAGAGACGTGCCGTCATAAAGCAGAAAGACTTGTCAGGCCTGTTTCACTTCCTTGCTGCAGCACTGTGATCTTTCCAGGCGTCGCTTGGCTATTTTGGGCGAAGTGTGACGTGACTTGGTCGCTTGCTGCTGCCCAGTGACACTCATGTTCGTTTCAATGTCAAAAGAGAAACAAGATCATTCTGGTCGATTTCATCACCGCTGGCTTTGGTATGCCAGCCGGTTTCCTCTCACCAAACTGACCCCCGATAGCTTGTGATTTTATTTTATTGTTTTAAACATGAAGGAAAAAGGGAAACATAAAGTGAGTCGTTTCCATACAGTCTAATACTAATACAGACCTATAAAAATAGGGCCTGAGAGAGAATGGCTGATGGAAAGTATGTGTGCGTGCAGAGCTGGAATGTGTTGTGGCTCAGAATAGCAACAAGCCCCAAGAGATGGTCAGGAAATCCCCCTGCACCCCACAAGGACATAAGACTTTAGTGTATGTTTTGTGATTTCCAAGCTCACAGAGTTTTGATTTTCTTGTTTGGTTTTGTCGATTTCATTGAGAGATTTAACCTCATCCTGTCAAGGCAGTCAGAAATCAATCAGAAGGTGGTCTTTGCCTTCTTTTACCACAGCACATGGAGCAAACAGGGAGGTTGTCAGTCGGACTTCATGTGCTCACACGAGAAGTGGTGCCGAAACAAACAGTCAATCAATTAGTCTGTCGCAAAATATTTTCATAATCAGCCAAAAGTGTCAAACTTTTTCAGGTTCTAACGGCTCTTTTCTCTGTTCTGTAAACACTATTTACAGACATTTATCTATTAATGGATCAAATAATCTGCACTTTAATCAATAATGAACATCATTTTTAGTTGCACCTGTAGTTGACCCAAAAACAGAGTAAAGGTTGATAAAACTGTTTTAGGCAACACCTTATTTTGATAGTCTGCCTACAAACAGTTTATCAACCTGTTTAGCAAAGGCTGAGTTCAAGTTACTATGAGAATATGTAGGTATGTTCATGAATTGTCACATGCACTCTACAGATAATCTCTTACACCACTTCAACTAATAAGCTATTGAAATGTTACAAATACTATATATACTAAAGGGTGTGCTGTATATAGGGGGTAAGGTATGTGATGCGTGCTGGTCTGATTTTCAGAGCAGCTGGTGCTGGGGGCCTATAGAGAGCCAGAAAAGAGCTGGGACCAGGATTATGATCACTTCCTGCTTCCTCTCCTGGACGACCAGGAGCCCTGCTACATCCTTTACCGCCTCGACTCCCAGAATGCACAGGGCTACGAGTGGATCTTCATATCGTGGTCTCCTGATCAGTCTCCGGTGAGTCGTACCACATGTTCTTCATTCAGCACCACATAGTAAAGCTACACACACACACACACATTGCTGTTGGTAATGAGAGCCTCAAATGTAACATTAACATTTTAAGTAAATACTTACAACTATTTTATTTTGCACTTCCAAACAGAATCAAAAAATCCTGCACTCTGTTGATCACATTTCCTCACTTTGTTAAGAACATATTGGTCCTCAGACAAAATTCATACAGGCAAAAAGCATCAGTACCATATGTGTGTTTAAACATATCCAAGGGAAAAACTACCAACCGTTACCAGCAGCACCTCCAAAGATCCATACAAATGAATGAGGGCCTCTGATTATAAACACAACTGCACCGGCATCATCCGGTTGTAAGCAGTAACAATATGTTTATCATACAATAGGAAATGTGAATGTCAAGGGATGGATATGTATCCTGCACAGAAAGAATCCTGAGAACATTGTATTTGGCCTGCTAAAAAGATCAAAAGAAGCTGAGTTTAAGAATAGGGTTATGATGATGTCATCAGGGCTACTGGAAGAACATTGGTGGAGTGCCCCTTTAAAAGCAGTCTTGTTTTTAGCTTGGTGACAAAGTCAAACTTATCTGTTCGATTGTCAAAGTGATTACAACGGATAGAATATAACTAAATGCATTTACTCAAGTATTGTATTTTGAGGTACTTGGATACTTCTACTACATTATGGAAGCACATTTTGTACTTTTTACTACATTTATTTGATAGCTTTCATTACTAGTTACTTAATTATCAATTATTACTAGATTATTAATAAAATATAAAGTAATAAAGAGCAGCTCCATCTTTACCAGCTTCAACATTCAAGTGATGGATACTTTAGTGCAACCCTAACTAAGAACCAGTGATATCATTATGAAATGGGTCTTTCTGCATAAAAATGACTTCATCTTTTCTTATTTAATGCTAAAACTTTTGTAATTTTCATTGAGCAAGAATTTGACGGCAGGACTTTTACTTGTAACTGAGTAATTCTTTCAGATTGCTTTCAGGTTTTCAGACTTCCTCCATCGCTGGCTCTTACTTAGCAATGTAGCAATTCAGTCTTGAATTCGATCTTACCTAAAAACGGTTTCCACCTGACAGCAACATAAATACAAACAGTTCATATATTTCCCACTCTGTTGGCTGCAGGTAAAACAAAAGATGTTGTATGCAGCCACCCGGGCCACAGTGAAGAAAGAGTTTGGCGGTGGCCATTTGAAGTACGAGATGTTCGGCACAGCTGAGGTCAGAAATATTTAAATTCATTATAATTTACAGTGACAGATGTGATGACGTGTTTCAGAGGTGTTTGTCCTGTTCTGCCTGTAAAGGGACTTTTGTTTTGCTTGAAACACTAGGAGGACATCTGTTTGCTGGGCTACGAGCATCATGTGTCATCCTGCTCAGGTCCTGCCCCGCTCACGTTAGCCGAGCAGGAGCTCCAGAGGATCAAAATCTCAGAGGTGAGAGGTCAACGTGCCCTCAGCAGTGCTGTCATCGTTGGATGCGCCACGCTCTGCTTGTGTCTGTAATATAACTTCCTTTGTTTGAAATGTAACGTTTTGTCGTGGTTTCCTTTTCAGGGCCGAGTTAAACAGGTATGTTGGTGCACTATTTACAGATTTACAGATTTCAGAGGTTGAATGGGGAACTACATCATTTCTGAAAATACATTTGTACTACAGTGTGGAAAATGTAAAGCTATATTATCCCATGAAACACTTTCTGGATCTTCCTTAGAGGCTTGAATATATAGTCAAGACTGTGTGTGTGTGTGTGTGTGTGTGTGTGTGTGTGTGTGTGTGTGTGT